TCTTCTGGAACTTGAGACATCATATTCCAAAATAATACTATGAAGGATATTTACTTCAGGGTTACAATAAGGTGATCGAACTTCCAGTAAAAATAACCCCTGCATGAATGGAATCTGCAACTGTTAAGCAGTTCCAAGCTTATTCGGTTCAGTAAAACATGTAAATAGAACTTGTGTTCAGCAACAAGACTACAAATCTTGATTTTGATCAAAAAAGCAGCCAAGTGGGAACACTTTGATTTTGCGGGTCATCGTAAGCGCTAAGCTTGGAGAGGGATAAACGCCGGGGGAAATGAAAACTGTACACGCGCCACGAAGCCCATTTCATCCTAAAGCTTAGTCTCATAAGTGAGTGTTATCTAACTACATGGCCCGCAAAACCAAGCCGTCCCACCCGAATAACTTTGCACCAGTAATCGTTATTCAAGAATAACAGGCAGCGAAGGCGCAATAAAAGGGTTCCGTTCCTGCATACGATTCCAATTGCTGCTGCTGGAGCTGCTATACCATACAAAGAACACCCAAACCAATTCCGCTTCTTCTAAAAATGCCTCGATTGTTAATGGACACTCAGAAGAGTTGCAGTCCGAATAAAAATACGAATAAGTTCCACCAAAGGGCAACTAACCGCTTATTCATGCGGCTATGAATTATCCACTGATTTGCCTCAGGATCAAAAACTTCAACGGTGTCCAGGTCGGTAGAACCGTTATCTCCACCAACCGCGTATAGCCTTCCGTTGACAACGGCCAGCGCTACCTGTGAATGACGAGCTATTTTATTTTAAATTCGTTTGAACTACAGAATAAAAATGGACTAAACGCGGACTCACACCAAATCGTTTCTCGTTCATGTCAGCCACTGCAGTCCACCTGTTCGCTCGTGGGTCATATTTTTCAGCTGAACTCAACCACGGTCCTCCTGCTGCATACAAGTGCCCATCGAACGCTGCAGACCCCAAATAGCCTCGACATGTTGTCATTGGACGAATGTGCTCCCACTTTCCCACTCGTGGGTCATAATCTAAAATATGGAATGCTACATTCACGTTTAGCATTTCTCTTTTGATCGGTGGCACTAGGCAAGTAAGGGCTTCCTGAATGCAGAGCTGATGTTTTTTACATGTTTTCCATGCATAGATTCCAGCTATTTTAAACCAGCAGTCCTCAACCTCAATCGTAATTTCATGCCTCGGTAACAAAGCACTTATATTATCACATCATTTCGATAAAATGGTAAGTAATATCAGTCAGTAATATCTTCGCGGTTACGCTTTGTGTTTAACCCTTAGACTACGACTTTTTTGAAAACAAGTTATCGATGTGTTTTGTGTAGTAACAGTCGCTCCTAGCAACAACTAATCATCTGTAGAAATTTGGCTGACGCGCGCTGGGTTTGAGCTCCAGAGACCATACGCGCGGCAGTGGCCCCTCCTGTCACCACACCATCTCCGCTCGAATGAGCATTTTCGAACTGGCAGTTCAAATTACCATTCAACAAATACACATTTCCACATTGCATTCGTGGAATAAGCTAATGTCCGGTTGGGAACGCACTTGAAAAGAATTGCAAGCCGCACTTTGTAGAAGTGCTGCTCCGCCTGCCTACAAGGCTGCGCCCACCGGCTGCTTCTCCTCTAACGAATTTTCGTGGGTTTTTATGCTCGAAATCTGCGCCATCATAGGAGTCTTTACTACCACTTCCGCACCATCCGAACTGACAGATCCCTGGAGGACGGAATCTCCAACACAGTCGTAGTACGCTGCGTCGTCCACTGACTGGCTTGCGACCGACAAAATGCCCCCATCCCTCATTGGTTTGCTTATGTTGCACGTGATACAATAATTGAGGGAAACACTAGAACCATTACAACAAGTATAAAGAGTGTGAGGCTCAAAAATTACCCTTTTGGGAGGTGTGAACACTGTACAGTGACCTGCGATAAGACCTGCTTATTACCTTATCCAGGGTAACGCGCTCTGACTTAGGACGATTTGGGTGGAGTAAGAATTGTAAATTTCTATATGTGCACAATTCCGCCATCAAGCGGGCCCTCCGATCTCAATAAGTGCCAAAACTGTGGTAGTGACTTTGACTACGGAAGTGGGACACATGTGTACCACCAGTAGTCAAAGATTAACTTACGCAGGATGACTCGCTTTAGCTTCTGACGATTAATTGTCATAGTAAGAATTAGAAAGCTTCTATATGTGCACAATTCAGCCATCAAATGAGCGCTCCTGCCTCAATATTCCCTGAAACTGTGGTAGTGTCTTTGACTACGTGGGACACATGTGTCCCACCAGTAGTCAAAGGGTTAAACGAGCTATTTTCTTCTGCCAGGACGGAAAAGAATGAAAAAAACAAAGGTTTTCAACACATTGCGTACCAAGCCGTTTTTGCGCTGGCGAGCTCGCATGGCCGCGCGTGCATTCGCATCGTGCGCCACATGGTGGCGCATGCGGCCACACGGGGCAGACATTTTTCAAATCCTTTTTAGAGGGTGCTTTTTCACTTTGTTTTTATTATCTGGGTTAAGTCACAATTTTATGAGAACTGCGTCATATTTTTTGCCTATTTGGCTTGTCATGAACATTCCAAATAGCTAACGAATGATTACACAACAGCGATAGTGAAGGATCAAAAATCTGCTTTGACCAACTTCTGGTGAAAAATAGCGATGGCAACAAATTACTTCTATCACCAATATCAATTAATTCCACGAGACTTCGAAAATATACAGCCGAAAAGGCATGTAAGGTGGAAAAGCGCTCCGAAAGCCTTTACGCTGATGTTTTGCTGGCACATCACTTTATTCACGCGAAGCTTTTGGCTGAAACACATTATTGCGACTCAGTTGTATTACAGCTAGATTGCGGTGACTGCTGAATTTGCTTAAAGAATGTGTTTTATTCAAGCAAATTTAATTAGCAACCTAGGCTCTTATTAGAATACACATGTACAAATATTAGCTTACATCTGGAGACGTCCCACTCGAATATGTTGTTCTCCTAGTGAGAAACATACATCTGCACAAACAAGGAATTGCAAACGTAAATCAGTCGACACAGCCCTAACTCCACCCACTTGCTTCTCCAAAACGGCCATCGAGAAGGGAGTGGGGGAAAAAGAGATAGAGAATATTAGTCCGATGAAACGGAACGCAATTTTTCTCTACTGCCACCGATCCTACCTCGCGCTGTGCGCCAAAAGCGCCAATTACATCATCCACAAAATCCCTTGAAAACTTCAATCCAAATCGCCTCACCGTTCCTTCAATAAATTACTAATCCCACTCAACCCCTGAACGCGACCCCCCCTCCAGGTAACGTCCTTTCGAATGCTCGAATACGAGGGTCGCTTTGGTCGAACGGAGTCGCAATTGCCGAGACCCTGAGATTTCAGGTAGAACAGCGACAAGGATCACAACAGCTGCGAGCTGCGCGTCATGGCAAGATGAAATAGACTTTCAAATGCCAGCCACAGGCGCGTGCGTGGCGTATCCGAGGACAAGAATTGCTTGTGCAGAGCGCATTGGATTCGATTAATTATGCAAAGAGAGACAGTTTAGGAAATTACGTGTTGTCCTTCGGAGCGATTATAAGAACGTAATGCAATCCCTATCGAGAGGTGAGTCTCGGGACCTGAAATTAAATCTCGGGACCTAACTTTCTGAGACGATTTCCAGTACAAACGGTAAAACACGTAAGGAAGCAGAAATCTCGTAGTCTTCAAAAATGTCTTCGTCCCTCTCCAAGAAGCTTTTTGAAGGAAGTTATTATTGCTGAAAGCTCAAAAACTCGCATGTGCTGCTCAAAAACCTATGGAAACAAAATGTTTGAAGCCATTCTCGCAACAATAAACATTGAAACGGTTTGGGGCATATTAGAAAGAGCAAATCCTGTACTTTCACCCCATGAAAAATGTGCCTCACAAAAATGAAAATGAAGTGAGTTATGGTCGCTGAAAGCCCAAAAACTCGCTTCTGCACGGAAAATGTTCAAACGGGACGATTTTTTGAATAGCGGACAACAACTGGATGTTGAATACTCTATGAGTAAGAAAAATATTTATGCTTCTAAACTATTTTACAGATTTCCAAAATGTCGCATACGAAAGAATCTATGATCCTTCAAAGTTGAAGGTTCCTTTCTTAGAATTTTGGGTTTTCCACTTCTAACAGAAGTACTTTCCGGAGAGTTAGGCAATCCTTGTAGTTTTCTGAAAGCGCACCTCAGGCACAGTCAAAATCTACCTCAACAAGTCAAAAAAGTACGTCCCAAGAAAGTTATTCCCCTCTAAAATTTTTTCTTCGCCGCGTCCCGTTCTTCCAGCGCCCGGGTGATACCTGCCGCGCTCCGGCTAGGGTCGCGAAATCCCGAAAATGTTCGAACGTGGCGGTTGACCCTGCCATCCTCTCCAAAACCCAACCACAAATGCGACCCCCTCGTCCGAATAGTGCGAACGCACGGTTGACCCTGCTTTAGAGCCCCCTCCATTGGCCAGATACGACCGTACCCACGCTGAACTTCGCACAACGGATAGCTGGCCCTTTTGCACGTCGACTGACCTCTCCACAGATGATTCATTCCAACCTCCAACGGCGTATAAACAGCCGTTGAGCACGGAGACAGAAAGTTGGAGTCGTCTTTCGCCCAAAGTTCATACTGTCCATTTTTCGCGGTCATATCCAACATGACATTTCAATATGGACGCAACAGTCGTAGGATCAATGCCTACCGTTCAACAATATTCAGGGCTCCTTGATCACCTTGTCCGCCCACCGCATAAATGAAACCGTCAAGCGTGGCCACACCATGCCCATAGCGGCCATAGGACATAGGAGCTATATTACTCGACCATACTTCAGTAGCGGGATCGAATCTAAAGCATTCCTGAAATCATTTCATCACAGTTCCTTTCCAGATCGCACCATCCACACCAAATTAGACTTCATTTCATGAGTCTTTTCAATTGCAAATGTGCATGTCATACCTCAGAACACTTTTCAAAAACAGCCCATCATTGCCACCAACCGCGTACAGTAAGTTGTAGAAAACTGCAACACCCACTCCAAACCTACAAGAAAAAGTTTCTGGGCAGAAAGAGTAACTCTACAATGTGACAACGTGCCTTGCCTCCCTCATGGGAACAACTTTCTCCCAAACAGGATTTACATCTCCAGGATCAACGCGTTCCACCGAATCGACGACCCCCTTGCAACCTCCCACTGAAAGCTGCATGAGCATAATAGATATGAGATCAGATTTGTTTCGCAGCCGTCACGTAGTATGTAAGCCTTTCTTTGGAGTTTCTATAATGTTAGCCCGTCGACAACTCGTGTTAATGGTGGGTGGTGCAGAAACAAGGTTGAACAAAACTCTTGTGGTTTATACCTTCCTCGCCCGTCCCCTTTTAGAGATGATTGAGTCTTGACCTTACCCTTTAACATTGGATCAATTTTTTCTCTCCACATTTGGATTTAGCATGAGACTTCGAGAAATAATAGTACTGAAAAGTGGTAATCACACAACAGACTCGAGAGAAGAATGGTACACCGGCCGCCCAGATTCTTAGTTTGCAGGGCGGAGGGTGCTGAGGAAAGCTATGTCCCACTGCTATGCTTTGATTCAACCCGCTTCACTTATTCCCAGTGTATAAACGAAGCGCCGCGCACCGTCATTTGACAATGACATTTTCTTCGAGCACTCTTTCCTAGCAAAACCCAGATCGCTCTCAGCAGCGCTTTGCCTGACCTCCCATATTTTCTTTATGCATAGGCGTGCGATGGAGCCGTTCAGTGATCAAAAAATTGGGACAAAATTGAGGACTGCAGTACTTCAACTTACCGGCGTATAATATTTCTCTGCTAAATACTTTCCGCTTCCGAGTTCGCGCTCCTTCCATGTTGGGTTTTTTGTGTGTAGAAAATTTGAGAATATGATAATCCTGAAAAACCAACAGCCAGATTGCGAGAAAGTTTAAGCACGCTACAACGCAGCACAAAACGCTAACCTTCGCTTCATCGACAAGATTCCGGCAGACAGCATCCGCCTTTACCAAAGTTTCCGTGCTGACGGTACTGACCAGAAATTCAGGATGACATAGGGGAAGTCGTACATGCTCCAACAACTGCAAAATCTGGTGTCACGCAATGCCGGACATCGACAAAAATACAGCCATCACCTGTGGAAATAATTGTTGTCGAGCCGGTAATCGAACCTGACCCACTCAACAACTGCTTTGAAAACCTGAAAAAAGTTGATTGTAGATTAGTAACGCGAAGAAGGGAGCCCAGCAAGGATAGAAGCAGGTGTCTGCTTTTGAAAACTCAGGATATACCTGGTCTTCTGATGGCACCTGGAGTTCTTCACTTGAAATTAGTTCAATTAATTGGTTACCAGGAAGTTGAAAAAATTCTTCAGTAGCCAACAACGTCCTAAAAAATGAAAAACGGTACGCTTTTTCAAATTTGAGAATAGGTAAACAAAGAAACCTTAAAGTTGCGTAGGATGTAGTTGTTGGCAGAAGATAAAAGCTCTCCACATGAATGAACGTCCGCAAAAGCTCGAATTCGCAAGCAATTCGAAGCGCTCAACTCTTTCTTCAAAAATTCGCTGCACTGGTCCTACAGAAAACCCAAATCATTTACATTTCCTATTGTGAAATATTCGAAAAAGTGAAGCCTTTCAAGCATTCGCAATTCCAACCTGAACTTCATTCAGCTGAAGCAAGCAAGCGGTGGGCAAAACACTCCATACATTGGTGCTACTGATCCTTATCCTTCCAAGGTAGCAAAAATTGACAAGAGCTTCAAGCGCGGAAGCTTTCACACCCTTCAGTTCTATTTCTTCTGAAAAGAGAGCTTGTAAGAATATTGCAAACAGCCTCCACAAGAAGTCGCGCAAAGAGAGAGAATTCATTGTAACATATTAGAACTCGAAGAAACATACTCTTGCGGCTTTCAGCCATGTCGTTTGTGAACATGGCTTCGAAAATAACTCGTGCTTGCAGCAAGTACGACTCGATGGGCGCTTATCCGTGTTCCCTGAAATATCTCTTTTATGTCTATTGAACGGTCCTTGGCGTTAAGTGGGCTACCTCGGCGATCCAGCGTCACGTCACACAGGCGAGAGTTCTCTCGAAGTTGTGCCAGCCGAGAGAGCAAAAGGCCGTTTTGGGCGGAACTCTAAACGTTGTATATGTGTGTAAATTGAGAATCTTATCTTTTAACGCGTTTGGAGCTCGGGAGACTTTCTACTATACAAGCTGGATTAAAACTAAGTTGCTAAGCAAAAATAATCCCTTCTGTATAAAAGCAGAAGTTTGGTGTGTTTGTCTGTCTGTTTGTAACCAGGGGCTCGCACGCTACGTAGACCCAAGAAAACAGTTAAGGCATGGTCCCGGATGGGTAGGAAGTTGCCCCTAGGGCGTGTAGGGTGAAGGCAGGGCTTGGTTAGAAAGGGTACGGTAGTGGGCGGAGCCCGGTCAGGTGGGCGGGGCTTGCGCTGAAATCTCCGCAGAAAATATAGGTTTTTGTGCAGAGGCCTCGAATTGCTAAGCGAATCACAACATTGATTGGGTAGTGTCGTAGGAGTTGGATTTTGGATGGGTCACATGCTATCGATCGATATCGATTGAAAATATCGGTTTTTGCGCAGAGGGCTCGAATGAGGTTGGGAATCACAGTATTGATTGGGGCCGTGGTAAAAGTCGAAATTCTATCGGGTCACATGCTATCGATCGATATCGATTGAAAATATCGGTTTTTGCGCAGAGGGCTCGAATAGGGTTGGGAATCATTCAGCCCTTCACCCCCAAATACATAGGAACAACTCCGTTTCCTTACCACCTCCTCAAATACGGCCCCTCCCGAATAACTCAAATACCACTCCCTCAATTGAGAACAGCGCAACGCCCTTTAACCCTGCCACGAGAGTCCATCCTCTTCAGGTCGTGTTTCGCGCGCGGTATCGTGCGCAGCTAAACTGGTATGATATAATGCTGAACACCTGTCAGCCAGGTGAGGATTTCTAAATATTCCCGCGACTAGCGTATCTCGAACTAGAGGCTACTCTCCACATAAGGTCCAGTATTGCTCTATAACGTTCTAGAAGATGGCAGGAAAGGGACTGCGACCAGAGAAAGGAAGGAGGTCAACTGTTGTTGTGCAGCAAGTTAGGGCGAAGGTGAACCAACCATCTGAGGGTGGATATTGCAGTGGAGGATCTATGAGGTCGATCCGTTTTTTATCTAGCTTTTTTGCTTCACCCTTCAAAATTACTGGCTGACGTTTCGGCAAAGTAGCCATCGTCGGAGTTTTAAGGAATCCTTCGCGGAAAAATCATGATTCTATTTCAGCCATAAATCACTGGCTTGAGACTCATTATCCACGATAAGAATGAAAAGAACAGAAAATTGCATTTGTTTTGGTAAAAAATTCGAAAAACCGAAAGGGCTGCTACGCGTTCAAAGTACCGCGGACATCTGTCACAAATGCTGGCGACGGGAATGCTTCCACTTGGTTCTTGGAGTGCCTCACTAGAAACTCTTTCTGGCCTTTTGACTTATTGCATTCACATCTCACACTTCTACTGCCATCCTATTCTATCGATCGATTTGTCTCTACTCTCCAAAATCGCACGCTTTAACCCGATTCTTTCATTGCGTCGCCTAATACATACATACGTAGCCGTCGCGCAGTTTACCTTCGATTGTCCAGTAGTTTTCGTAAGTTTGTTTCTCATCTCATCTTCATGCGCGAAACTTTGTGTGCTGTTTCCAGTGATCACAATTGACATATTCGTGAAAGAATGCAAGAATTTTTCCGCGAAGGATTCCTTTAAAGGAAGTGGGTACGAAAAGGAATTTTCACATCTGGGGAGAACCTGCGCCCCACAGAGCAATTACTTGGCTGCCAAGGAAGCGATGTGT